TGTCAGCAATTATTGCCATTTTCATGTATTGCCAACCATATGTTTACAGTAAATGAGTGAACAACATTGTGTTTCTCTTACAGATCCTGGCTCATATTTGATATAAATATATTTCAAATTTAAGACTATAACCTCTGTACACACAGGACATCGTAAAGTACACAGTATAAAACACTCATATATATATATATATATAACAGTGATGTTGGACAGACAGTGCACAATAACATGGATTGTTGGGACAGAGGTTCCAGTAATTTTTCGTCTGTCTTTACTGTCTGTTAAAGGGATTTGAAATTGGTGGTTAGCTTTTGAGTTCCCATGCCAGGCAGTACTTCAGCTGTTGGTGCCCCTGTAGAAGGTGGTGAGGATGGGGGAGATATTATGAAGGTGATGTTAATTCTCCAGGTACAATCCTTTGTGAGTAGCACATTGAATTCTCTTTCACTATGTATTGCATCTACAAAATTTAGTCAAAATGCCCATCCTGGCAAGTTTTTACATAAACTTATGTCTTAAAGGAAAAGCTCACCCAACAATCAAAAACCAAACCTTTATGACTGACTTTGTTCTGTTGAACATAAAAGAAGATATTGGTCTGGTGGGTGCAGGTGCACGCTCAACATGATTGTGCTGGAGGTTTTGCAGGCAATCGAAATCCACTGTGGTTTCTCTGTTATATATTCCTTATATACTGTTACATAGTCCTGTTTACACTGAAAGGGCCAGATTGTCCAGCTTTTCAGTCAGCTTTTGAGGGATGATTGTGTTCAGTGTTGAGCTGAAATCAATGAGCATCATTTTTAAATAGGTGTCCTTGTTTTCCAGGTAAGAAAAACAGACCAAGGGCATGTTTTATAAACTATATGGTGTTGAATATGGAGGGAAACTTAATGTGGTCTTTGAAAATCCTCTCAAAGAACTTCATAAGTATGTGTGTAAGTGCCATAGGACAATGGTCATTAGGGCAGGACGTTATTTTCTTCTTACGCACATGTGATGGTCATTACCTTAAAGAATACTGAGACAGTTGCCTGGCTCAGAGGAATGTTGAAGATTACTCTAGGGACATTTGTGAATTGGACTGCACTGTCCCTGAGCATCTGACTAGGAATCTTTCCAGGTTGAGTGGCTTTACATTAATCAACCTCTAATAAAGTTCTTCTGCCGTGGACAGCAGACTTCTTTCCAGGAGTGTTGTTAAGTGCATTCTATGCAACAGTGCATAGAAGTCATTCAACACATCAGATGGGTAAAATCGCTGTTGACAGGCTTAGATGCAGTCTTGTAGTCAGTAATGGCCTATATGCCCTGCCACATGCTCTTTGTGCCTCAGGTGTTGAAGTGTGTGTGTAGATCCGTATATAGCTTTATTTTACCTTTATGATACCTAAGGGCTACCTTATTTGTGCAACCCTCTAAAGAGACAATTGCATAATCAGTGCACTTGTTGATATGTCCTGACACTGACAAAACTCCTCCAGGTATTTTTTACATGTGCCCCAGTCAATATATTAAAAACAATCCTTTAAAAAATGGGCCATGAAATAGGCCTGGGCAATAAAACGGTATCAATGTTTATCGACGGTACACCTTCTTCGATATCGATAGAAAAATTGTTCGATATAGCGCACGATATAGGCACGTACTATGAGTGACGCAGACAGCACACACAAACACGAACACATGCTGAAATGAGTGCTGTGCCTGCCTGTGATGAGGAGATTGTAAATAAAGAATGAATATTAGTCGAATTTAAAATAAACATTTGCATTTGAATGTTAATTATATCGTTGATAAATTTTTTAGCTATATCGCCCAGCCCTATCATGAAAACTAGTTTCAGGTTTTTATAATATGTTTGTTGAGCTTAGTTTATAAAGTTTGCAAAGATTTGTTTGCACTAAAAAAGTCCAATATTTGTAAAAAGGATCATTTTCCATCCTTGTTTTTACTCTTTGTGAAACACACTCAATTTCAAGGGCTGCTGCCTTTTCCATTGCAGAAATGGAAGTAAACATCCACTGCTGTGATTGGCTAACTGCTAACATCATTGCACTGTCAGATCCTGATGTAGAATAAATTGAAACAACACAACCATCTGCAACGTAAATGTAACCAAATATCTGTATACAAATTACTGTTAACAAATTTCTTAAAAGACAACTACAGCACTAAAAGATAACACTAGCTACCCATTGTTGTGAATGGTTGATAATAGCAACAGTAACATAAACTATAATAAAATATATACAACTCACATAATAAAAATATTTTTTTTATAACTAAAGTATTTTTTTCTTAAAAAATAAATAAATAAATGAATTATTCATGTACTGATTTTATTAGCAATACTCAAACAATTCTGTTTCAATTTTATTGTTGGAATTTCATCCAAAAAATGTTCTTGCATCCCACGGCATAACAAAATGAGACGGACCACCTGGACGCAGTTCACAGCCGTACCGTGCACCATGACGATACACTTGGTGTCTTAATAGGTTAAATGTTTTGACATTTGTTACAAACACACCGGGCCTCATTAATCTATCTATCGTAGAAACAACTGAGTGCACAAATCAACTTATGACAGGGTTCATGTGTGGTTCATGAAACATTCATATGCTGCCAATCTTGAAATTGGTAAATGTGGTGGCTGAAAACAATAATAATGTATTATTAAATAATGTAATGTAAATGTATATTAAATAATGGTAAATTTAACGAAACATTTGCAAACATTATAAATGCTATATAGCCTATTTAGTTCCCCTCACTCCACAACAAATCCTTTACATTTAACTGTATTCAGAACAAAACAAGAATGAAAAATAAGTAGCTATAAAGTTATATATTAAATTATAAAATCAAACACAAATTAGGCTATAGTGTCATTTTTTATTAAAAAAAACATCAAACGTCAAGCTAAAATTAATTTATTTAAAGCAAAACTGAAACGTTTTGCTCCAAATGTTTTCATTTTTTTGCCATGCAACATTTGGTTGCTAGACAATTATTCATTATGTAAACAAGGCTTTGAACTTAACTCGTGTTCCAATATCCACATAAAATGCTGATTTTACAGTGGACCTTTTAAATTGAGCAGTGTAACTTTTCTGTTTGGTTGACTGCATTTTAGTTTGAAGGTAAATGGCTGAAATGTCAAGTTAGCAATGCTAAAACTGATATATTGTGTGTGTGAGAGAGATGCCTGCACGATTAGTTGGATTTTATCAAATAAAGATTTAAAGAAAAATAGAATGCGTTTTGAATGAAATTTCACAGAAACAAGCCTATACTTGTCACACAGTCTTATTTATTTTATTACTTTTATATACTTCATTTCTGTTTTTCTCCATTCACAGAAGCGCTGCAGGTGTATGATGTGACAAAAAAAGACATTCTAATCTTACTGGTTAATGATTGACTAATGAGCTTCGGTTATCGGTCAGGAAAATAATCTAAATGAACAAAATGCTGTCATTATACAATTCTGCACCAGATTTGCTATGCTGCACACAAGTTCAGGCTAACTCAAAAACTTGATTTGATGTGAGATTTGATTCAATAAAAGATGTTGTGGAAAATGAACAGCATGTTTAGAATAATTCACAAAACAGTCCGATGTGAAATGTGAAGAACAAATAAAAACTTAATCTTTCAGTTTCTCAGGCATGTTATTAAAAATGATTAAGTATTAAAAAAAACTTTAGCCATGCATTTATAAAGCTCAGATCTTTAGAAAGGCTCTGCACAGTTTTGCAATTTCTTTACATCCGCTAACAGAACAACATCAGAGTTTGACGGACTTACTTCAACAGCTGTATCGCTGATGGACAAACGAGTTGTTCGGAACACACCTCTTTGATTACATACGACAGCAGAACTGTGACGTCATAATTCTCCAGATTTCAAATCTGGGTATTTCAGAGGGGTAGAAAATAATATTGCATGTTAGTCAGCTTTGAGAGTAAGTAGAGTAATCTCATATAATAATAATAATAATAATAATAATTTATGCATTTAGCAGACGCTTTTATCCAAAGCGACTTACAGTGGATTCATATGTATATAAATATCAAGAACATTTTGATTCTCCATTTCATGACTCCTTTAAAGCTGAGCTTGTTTCTTCTGGCCTCCAGTAATCAGCTTTGCAACAGGTTTGTTCCGTTTGAGAAGTGTACATTTCCTGTATACAGCAATTACCATAGCAATGATGTGGTCTACAAAATCCAAACTGGGGTAGCTGCATTACCCTGCATTGCTGATGTTTGTGTAAAGGTCCAACATGTTCTCTCCTCTGGTAATGTAGTTTAACATGTTTATGAAATTTAGGGTGGGGCAAATTGCTTGACTGAAGTTCCTGGCAAAAATAAAAATGTCATGGGCTTTTTCTGTTTGCAGCTCAATAGTGATTATAATACAGAGTAATTCAAAACAGCTGATTTGGCTTATTCAATCTCAACTGATTTGAATGTGTTTCTGTTATAACCCACATGTTCTTATACTGTTGTTGTTGTTTTTTCCAGTTTTGTTTAACCAGTTGTTAGATGTGTCTTCCTGTATTGACTCTTTTCACCTGTAGCCTACTGACTGATGTTTACTGGTGTTGATTTATATGACCTGTCATCACTCTTGTATTGTTGTAGTTGACATTAAATACTTTTTATATTAATTCTAATTATTACAGAATGAATATATGGCATTATATTAACTGAGCGACTACTACATGGAATATTTTTACTTCATTTGCTAGACCGCAGGACCTGTTTAAGAAGAGCTAGTGAGAGCAAAATTAAAAGTAATTAAAACAGTCTACCTGTACTGGCTCTTGATTGCCTTCATTGACTCATGTTTATCTGTTGTGACTATTGTTTACCTAACTGACCCATGTTGATCTATACTGACTTTAGATGACCTGCATTGGCTCATGATGACCTGCTATGACTTTGTTTACATTCAATAACTTTTATTTACCTGTTTTTTGTCATGTTTAGGAGCTGGTCATTGCTCTTAGTCACCTAGTCGAACAGTATGAGAGTAATTTCTGTACTGTGGCTCTGCAGTTCATGGAGGAAGAGAAAAACTATGCTGTACCCTCTCCTGCAAATTCCACAGGTAATTATTTATAACTGTTTTATTTCTTAGTGATTTATAGTTTAAACAACAGCAATAAATGCTGCTTACAGTAATGTACTGTATACTGCGCAATGTACTATCTATCTATCTATCTATCTATCTAACTATCTATCTATCTATCTATTCCACATATCAAACCATAGTCATGGTCTGTTGTATATCTGATGTTTCAGCTGCCTTGATTTTTGTGTGTGTGTATGTGTAGAGACAGGAAATGTTACCCTGGGTAGGGACAGTCCTGCCATCCCTCGTTTACGATCAGTGAACTCCTATACAAACCTAAGAGCTGCCACCACTGCTCGAACCCTCAATAAGAGTCTTCAGAACCTCAATCTCAATGAGGAGGGTGAGTCAAACTCGACTCTACATCACTAAGCCTGAAATCTCTGGTACAACATTTTTTTAATATCTTTCAACAGTTCACAATGTCAATGTGATTGCCATAAAATCATGCTGCTAAACTGCGGGTCATATTGTAGATTTAATACGTCCTCTTTATAAGTGAAAAATAAAACTCCTTATATCGTGATATAAGATTTTGGGCATATCACCCACCCCTATTCCTAACAATGCTTATTTTTGTTATATGTGATCAGTGGTCAGTGGTGGACGAAGTACACAAATCAAGTACTTGGGTAAAAGTACAGATACATATGATAAAATTTTACTCCAGTAAAAGTAAAAGTACTCCTTTTTCAATTTTGCTCGAGTGAAAGTACAAAAGTACTCGAGTTTTTATGTACTTAAGTAAAAAAGTACTGAGAGATAGATTTATTTTGCAATTTTATATAGGCTACTTAATTTAATTAAATATTAGCACATATTTTTTTTAGAATCCTACTTAGGCATGGGCCGGTATGAGATGTTGACGGTATGATAACCTTAAGCAAAAATATCACGGTTTCACAGTATCACGGTATTGTCGTTACAGCTCTAAAATGTGTTATTTTTAAATGACTGGGTAAAAAAA